CGAGGGTTGAACCAATCAATGTACAATCCAAAGACCAGGTTGTACTTGCCACCCAGCTCTTTTAGCTTCTTCCACCGCGGACTGTCCTGGAGATCTGTCATCTCTTCGCCATCTGCAGCAGAAGGTCTCTGGTATGATTCAGCAAGGTAGTCCTCAATCGACTTCCGCAAGAGGAACCAATTCCAGCCAAGATTCGAATTTCTGTGTATTGAATGTGGTTATTGGAACCCGTTTGGTCTCCTTTCCAAATTGCTGTGTCCGCCAGAGCTCCGCCTTGCAGTACCTGCGGGACTTTTTTGAAACCTTTGCTGTACATGTATCCGGCATTTTTTCCAGAGATGGTATAGAGTGTAACATTTGGGACAACAGGGTGTTCGAATGATTTCTGGCTCCTTGGTGTAGTTCCGGTAAATAGTTCGAAGGTCCCTAGGTATCCGAAGTTTCGGAATCTGAACACGGATTCCTTGTGCAAGTAAGGTAGCCTGGAGGAGCTCCAGCGCAGTATTGAGAATAAATTGAAGAGCCTTCAGGATAGTATTTGCAGTTTCGCGGCTGACACTAGCCTTTAAGTTCAGCCAGACAATTAATGCAGAACAGAGCTGGATAATCAGAAGCTCGTTGATTGCAATACCTACCAACAAGGGATTAGTGAATGAAAATTTCATTACTAGAACTTTGCGCACCCGTTGTACCCCTTGATTTCTCCTCATGGCCCTCCTCCTCGTCCATAAGATCTTTCACACCAATGGGCCGAGCTTGAGAATTGCGAGTTTTAGCATATTCCGGTGAACGATTAGCGGCTGCGCGAAGCTCATGGATCCGTCGGAGCTGCTGAGTGATGCGGTCTCCAGGGATTGCCTGATTGTCGACAATAACCCGCTTCTCGATGCACTCTGGGCAAGTGCAGATTACCCTTTTCCCCTTGTTCTTCATGTGGGCAAGAGGGGAAGGGAGGTTCAATCATAGTTCTTCAATGGCCTTTATGTGGGCAAATCATCATTAATCAGTCCATCTAACAATCTATCCAACGTGAACGAACTACCGTTCACAAGACTGATTTGAGCGGTACAAATATACACTCTGATCCGCCGCGTGATCAGGATTTTTGACTCCGGCAACCAAACTTTTGAGCTATTTCTTCCCATAGCTGCCAAATCTTTTGATGGATTGTCCAACGCCCAGCCAACGCCAGGCCAACGCCATGGCCACTGTCGGACCCACGCCCGTCAAACGCCGTGAAGCCGCGGTCATGGCGCTTGCCGGCTGTGTCAACTTCAACTACTAGCCGTCTCGCTCCCAACAACCAATATTGCATACGATCCAAGGCTCTCAGCAAACCGTAGAGTTCTCTCTTAGGTTGCGAGAATCTGGCTTCTCTGTCATTCAGAGGAATGGCGGTAAATTTAGCGTAGTACCTCTTGGTTGGGTCATCTGGATCGCATTGATATACTTCCAGTCCGACCAACCTCCAGGATGTGTCCACAGCAAGAACAATATCTGAGTCCCATTCATAATTCAACGGTTTCAGTGCTCTGCATTTTGTGACTTCCATTTTAATGGCATCCATCGAAGCTTGCTGCTTTTCTCCCCACTCGAACTCTGTGTCTTTCCTTAGAAGTTGTTGAATTGGCCTGGAAATATTTCCATAATTCTTAATGAACATCCTGACCTGCCCAACAACTCCGAGGAACTGTCTGACCTCCGAAACGTTTTCACATCCCGGCCATCTGAGAATTATTCCAACTCGATCTTCAGACGGTCTCCGCCCTTCGAAAGAACAGAGATGTCCTACGACGGGAAACTCATCAAGACAGAGCAATGCTTTTAGACCCGAGAAGGTGCCTCCACAATACTTTATTCGCTGTACTATTCGATTCAAGTTCTGGAAATGTTCCCACACGAAACGTCTAATCCCTGCATTCTCTGGGATAGTCTCGTATTTTCCATTCTTGTCTTGATACCTTGAACCAGGTCCTCTTATCGGGACATCGTCAATGTACGGTATCGTGACGTGTGGGATCTCGTCCCTGAGAATATAGGTTACATCGTCATGGAAGATTGGAACTGAGTTAGTCCAACCCTGTGGCAGTTTTACTAGCCGCAGTGCTCCAAACGGTGTCTGAAAGGTCGTATAGTCCCGACTGTTTTCAGATATATCTCGATGATCATACCCTGAATATAAGTCCAGTACAGCTCCACAGGCTCTTCCAGCGAAGTGGTTTGCTAATTCCTCTGTTGCCGGAGGAATACCTGAGTGCGCAATAGTAACTTTATTCAAGGGTTCCAGAGCATGGACTAGACGGATGCTTTTGCCATCTTTCTTTACAACACCGAAGAATTTGGTTCTATACAAAGCATTTGATGGTTCGTAGACTCCAGCATCTATTTTCTTTCGAATAATGTTGCAAACCATCTCCAACTGTCCTCTGGGGATCGGAATACTCCGCTCAACCCAAACCTTATGCTCAATAACCGGTATCTCAACTGGAGGAAAGAAGTCATGTCTGAAGCTTCCCCTTTCGGAGTCGTCCCATGCAAAAGCCTCGTTCTGGATCATCATAAAGTTGTGAAGCAATTTCTTCTCCTCCAACCATAGGAAGTCCTTCGCGTGTATTTTGTCAATTATTTCTTTCCTGTCCACTGTGTACCGCCCAGTTGGCGTAAAGTCTGATGGATTTGGTGATAGCCCTGGCATGTCCTGTAGAGGGTCTCCAATGATATTCCTCTGAATCCTGAATTGCTCTGGCAGATCAGTATATACCGGCCGCACTTTTAATGCTACTGGTTTATACTTCTTGGTGGCGTATACTCTCGTTATCAGAGTCGGGGTAGCTGGTATCCGTTTAGACGCCTACTTCTTCCCTTTCTGATTGCGTGCTCCGCCTTTCTTAGTATCTTTGGACATTATCCATTCTACTGTTTGGCAACAACTGCACTTTTTGTCCTTTCGCATATCATGCTTCGGGACTTTCCCACGATTTAATATTTTTCTCGGCCATATGGTTCAAATGGTCGGGGACTTTTTCGTCCCAAGTGAATACTTGATGCTGAACTCCAGATCTTCTCTGCTTGCGGTTTGGCGTGACAAACTCGTTGAATAGCACTCTTGCCCGATGGTCAGCGCACATTGAGTCATTGACTCAGATCCTCTTGAAGCTGAAATGTAAGCTTCTCGGACTTCATCTTCCGAGAAACTCTCTCCATTTCTAGGCTCCATGTATCCCTGAATCTCCAACTCCCCTGTCTCATCAAAGCCAAATTGTAGCGCCATCTCTCCTCTTTGAAAGCCTTCTATCAAGTCCTCGGAGACCGGTGAAAATCCTCGTCGTCATCATCCAGCGCATAGTGCTATTATGATATATCAAAAGACTGTGATAAGAGATGCGGGCTGATACATCAAGAGCTCTGGTCAGAGGTGAGGCCGATATATCACGTTAGAGACGCACCTATAATGGGAAGTAAACCCGGTTCTGTTGCGGCGGCACTGTCGCGGCGCTGTTGCGGGCGCGTGGCAGTGCATCCCGCCATTTAGCTGCTTTTGGAATATTTTGGTGCAGCCCTGCGCCCGGCCTCCCGTTGGGGTTGTGTTCCCAGAGCTGAGGCACCCTCACCTACGCTGTTTTGAGAGCGGTCGTGGGCTTACGCGGATATATATGAGCGTCGGATGCTTCGCCTTTTCAGGCAGGTGCGCCCTTGTTTGTCATTGTTAGCATCTGACTCTTTCGCCTCCTGCCACCACTTTCCGCTCCTCCCCTCCCCCCATGCCTGTTGTGACGGCTATTCAACTGCGGGGCAGGATGGCCCCACCTCAGGTCTCTTGATTGACACCCCTCTCGCGGCATCCGGGCCCTTATACGGCTCACACGGCGGTCTTTAATCATTCGGCATACCCATGCACACCCCGCTTCCCCGGTCCACCCAGCGATTATTCGGCCTACACATAGAGGCTTTCCCCTCAGTACTCACATCTGTTCCGTTCACCTGGCTCTACGACAGGCACGCAGCCGCTATCGGCATTTTGCTCCCGCCCCACCCCCGCCACCTCGGCGCCACCGCCGTGCTCGCCCAGCGCCCGTTCCACCGCAGGTAGAGGTGGGGGGATGTCCTTGCACCCCGCCTGTGCCCTCCACTTTGCTCTACGACGTGCACGCAGCCCGCTATCGGCATTTTGCTCCCCCCCCACCCCCGCCGCCTCGGCGCCACCGCCGCGCTTGCCCGGCGCCCGTTCCACCGCAGGTAGAGGTGGGGGGATGTCCTTGCACCCCGCCTGTGCCCTCCACTTTGCTCTACGACGTGCACGCAGCCCGCTATCAGCATTTTGCTCCCCCCCCCACCCCCCGCCGCCTCGGCGCCACCGCCGCGCTTGCCCGGCGCCCGTTCCACCGCAGGTAGAGGTGGGGGGATGTCCTTGCACCCCGCCTGTGCCCTCCACTTTGCTCTACGACGTGCACACAGCGCGCTATCGGCATTTTGCTACCCCCCCCACCCCCGCCGCCTCGGCGCCGCCGCCGCGCTTGCCCGGCGCCCGTTCCACCGCAGGTAGAGGTGGGGGGATGTCCTTGCACCCCGCCTGTGCCCTCCACTTTGCTCTACGACCTGCACGCAAGCCCGCTATCGGCATTTTGCTACCCGCCCCACCCCCGCCCCTTCGGCGCCGCCGCCGCGCTTGCCCGGCGCCCGTTCCACCGCAGGTAGAGGTGGGGGGATGCCCCTGCACCCCACCTGTGCTCTTCTCTTGGCTCTCCGACGTGTATGGGGCCGGCCATCGCCCTCTTTTATTCTCAGCACGCTCCCACCGACCCCTGTCCGCCGATTTCCCCACACCTGACGTTCTCATCCTACTCCCTTCCCCACTATACCTCCAAATTTATGCCCAGATTTTTTGTTCTCGAGTTTAGCTCTTTTTTCTCATCAAATCGGACTTAGAAAGTTTTTTTTTTTTGCTTAGAAACACGGAGTCCATACACCCTGTCACGTCCTCCTTTTACCGTCTTAATATAGCCTTGATGGTGTAGTTGGTAACACCTTGGTTTGTTGTTCTTCGAGTAGCCACTGGCTGCTTGGGGAATTCCTCGTGAATTCCATAATGAAAAACGCCGAAGCCCCTCGTTCGAATCGAGGTCAAGTCATTTTTTTAATTTTTCTAAGTCGCGTTGAACAACAATTCTATCTAAGACCTAATAACTCTACAAAAAAAAAAAACAGGGAACACCCTACTTGTGCTACCGGATCCCCCAACATCTAGATACACGACCGGTGGTGCCACAAGCTCCTTGGTGCACGCAGGGCCTATACACTGTTTTCTTAAAATCGTCAGCGCGACGACTCGAGTCAAGAACAAGACGAACGTACATCGGAGAGAAAAACGGGAGCAAAGAGAAAAGAGGCTTTCCGACGCACCTCCACTTGTGCTACAAGGCCATGCTGAAGCACTAAGCAATGCCAGCTAGATACGTTAATGGAGAAGGGGGGAAAAAATCATAAATTTTCGTTGCGGAAGCAGCATGGGTGAAAGACATGGTCTCGTTTTCCTAAAATCTACGCCGTCCTTTTCCTGCATGCAAGAAGATCGTCAGCACCGAATCGCATGTGACGAATCAGAGACCTACCTCTTAATCGGCCCCTGGGGCTCACTGTTCTCATTGTTCTCGACCTTCCTCTTCCGCCCCACCGCAACACCGCCTGAAGAGCCGCCTTTCGCCTTCTTGGTCGTGTCGCTCTCCTCCTTCCTCCCCGTCCCCGTCGCCACCCCCGTCCCCATCCCCGTCCCCGTCACCACCCCCCGTCCCCGTTGCCTTCGCCTTCGCCTTCGCCTTCCCCGTCCCCGTCCCCGTCCCCGTCCCCATCCCCTTTGCTGTCGCCCTCTTCAGGTTCGCCGCCATCCTATCCCCGCTTCCCTTCAGCGCCTCCAGCAAGGCTGCATCCTTCTTCGCCTGCAGCTCGTCCGTTAGAGTGACGATTGCACCCATATTCCGGCGGGGTGCGGGTGCTCGGCGTGGACGCGGGGCGTCGGGGGGCAGAGGCACCACAACTAGCGGGTGATTACCGTCGGGGTTGTTGAGCCGACTATTCGCCTTGTATTCCGCCGCCGCCCGCCGGTCCCTCGTCTTCTGCGCCTCCGCCTCCCGACGCAGTCGCCCAGGGTTTACACTGGTGATGGAGTGTATCAGCGCAGGTTCCGCGTCTGACGGTGTAGGAGCCTCCGCCGGCGCCTCCAACTGCCTCCCCTTCCCTTTGTCCCCCGTCCCTATCTCACCCTCCGCCCCCGCCTCCCTCTCTGCCTCGCCACCCTCCGCTCCCGCCTCCGTCCTCGTGTTTCCTGCGCCCCTCTTGGCTCCCGCCGTCTTCTTCCCAGCCTTCCTCGCCGCCCTAACATGCTCCATCTTCTTCGCTATTGCCCCTGGGGAAGCCTTTACCGCGAGTCTCTTGGGCTCATTTGCCGGTGGGCGCGACTTTGGCCATATCAGCGGCGCCAGCTCCTTCCCGGATGAGGAGCCCCCACGGGGTCGCTCAGGGGACGGTCGCAGACGGGGAGGCAATGTCGCACCCAGTGGTGATGAGGCTCGCGAGTCCGGCAGCAAAGGCGGCGCGGTGAGGGGGGAGGATCGCGCCGGGGCGAATGACTTTCGCTGCGGCGTCCCTGCAAGCCCGACACTCGCCATCGATGTCGATGGCTGATGGTGCTTCGGTGTCGTCGACGCCGAGTTGATGCCCGTTGCAGTCGGTGTCTGAGAGGTTAGCGCTGGGGTGGAATTCGCACTGTCGGCTGAGTGACGCGTCGTCGTAGACAGCGCACTATTCTTCGTTGCGGCTGGTGTCGGAGAAGTCAGCGCTGAGGCAGAATTCGTATAATCCGAGGTCTGGCCTGGTGAGCTCGAGGGCGAACGGCTCGAATGGATCGGTCGATACTGCGGCTGTCGTCCAAATGTGAAGTCGGATGACCGCCCGCCCCACGCTGGCCGCGGCTTGGGTGTAGCTGTGGCGGTTTCCTCGTCCGGCAGATCAAACCCCACGCCTGGGGTGCCCCAGGTGTTGACCGTGGATCGCGAAATGTTGCCTTCACCCTGTTGCTCGCGGGACGTCCAATGCAGGCCCTGCCCCCCGCCGTCGGAAGGTGGGAAAACCCAGGGTCCGCTGGTACCACCCGCCCCCGAATCACCAAAAGTGTCGTTGTCGTTCGTGGCGATCTGAAGATTTCTGCGTACGAGCATCTCTGGGTGAGCGTTGACGTACTCGTCGAACGAAAGTGTATCGGTGGTAGATGAGTTGTTGCTGAGGAACAGGCTGGGCGAGTTGTTGCCGCCGAGGAACGTGCTGGACAAGCTGTTGCTGCCGAGGAACGCGCTGGCCGAGTTGCTGCTGCTGAGGAACGCGCTGGACGTGGTGGTGTCGCCCAGGAGCGCGCTGGATGAGGCGCTGCCGTCGAGGAACAGGCCGGAAGAAGCGCCGCCGCCGAGGAACAGGCTGGAAGACGCGTTGTCAGTGGCAAATGAGGTGTCGTCCCCGAAAAAGGAAGCATCGCCATAATCCTGGATGTCGTTTTCGTAGTCCTGATACGTTTTCTGCGCGCCACGGGGTAGGAAGCTCGGGGAGGGACTTCTTGAGGCCGGTGGTGAGACCGGAGTGGGCGTCATGGCGCTCGAAGTATTGGCCGGCGGTGAGACCGGAGTGGGCGTCATGGCGCTCGGAGTATTGGCCTTGCTCGACGACGCCTTGGCCTTACCCGACGACACCTTGGCCTTGCTCGACGATGCCTTGGCCTTGCTCGACGCCTTGGTCTTACTGGCCTGGCTTTTGTGCGGCCGCTGCGGTGGCGCCACTACCACCGCGGGCTCGGAGGCAGGCTCATCCTCCTCGCTGTCCCGTCGTTCAATGGCGCGCGCGACACGCGTTGTGCGTGCTATCGTTAAGATTAATATTTACTCAGAATTCGACGAATAAGCTGAGGTACTCACGGATAGCCTTTCGAGCAAACTTGCACAGGGGGGTCACAACCGCCTTCTTCCAGTTGCTGTGGTAGTCTTCGAAGTTGACGCCTTCGGCCAGCCCAAACGAGTAGCTGAGAGAGAGGAGTGTCAGTCGTGTGAGTCGAAGCATTCCTAATTAGGAAATTCTAACCTCTTGAATCCCAAGTCGCCTCCGAGTTGCGGTACAGGCCCAGCGTACACCAAGGTCCCAACCCAACCCGTCATCCTCGCGAATTCCGTGAGGAAAACTTCAGCCACTTGCAAAGACTCGTCCAACGACCTGGTGCGACACGAATCAGCCAAAAAACCTCGTGCAGTCAAACCAGGAACCAAGAACCCACATTTGGTACTCCTCCGGCGTCCTCTCACCGTCCTCTCCGTCCTTCTCCTCCGTCCGCGGTGCTTTAACCTCGGCCATCGCCTTGGCCACCACCTCCTGCTGAACTGCCTCGTCCTCCGCCTCCCAACACTCCCGGATGACGCGCCTCTGTACTGTCATGCGCTGCGAGCGGGCGTCATGCAGCCGTGCCTCCTTCTCCTCCTCATCGTCGTCGTCAATCCACTCCCCGTCCGCTGTGCGCCGCTGCGCCGCTTCGTTGAGCTCGACGAACTCCGATTCTTGCAGCGCGGTCTGCACGGTGGCCTTGTGCTCCCTCTGATACACCTCGAGAACCTGGTGGCGACGTGTGGGCTTTGGGTGCCGCTTGAAGAGCATAGCCGCCAGTCCTTTGGACGTCGACGTCGAACGACTGGCTCCACCGCGTTGCGCTCTGACTTTTGCGTAGCCGTTGAAGAACGCGTTGCGGAGTTGCTGAAAGGTGTAAGTTCGACGCGTTTTTCCACTTTAGAGCCACCAGACCCACATCGTTTCTGGTGGTCATCGCGTCATTCAGCGACGCCTCCTCCTCCGCGGTCAGCTTGCGTGGAGGTGGGGCGTTTGGGTCAGGGTCGAACACTTGCACCGGAAGGTTCAACGCCAATTCCTTGGGGAACTCCGCGTACCAAGCCTTCCTCATCTTCCGCCAGTAGCCGTCGAGGTTCTTTGCTGCCTTTTTCACCAAAAACTCGGGCATCCACAACGCAACGAACGCCTGCTGCTCCTTGGTCTGCCAGGTCGGTGGTGCCATTCTCGATGTATGGTGTGTGTGTTATAACAGGGAAGAGATAAACGCGATTTTTTGGTTTGTTGATGCAGCGCGTGCGCAAGTAAGTATTTATTTTACGCTGTTGTTTTTGGCCAACCCCTTCCAACGCAGATCCACACCCCCTTGCTCCTTGCATGACCACCCGGCCGCCTTCACCGTATCGTAAGACAATATTGTACCTCCTTAGAAATGCGATGTGAGTTAGTCGGAGCTTTTGCGTCCAGGCAGACATGTCGCTCACTGTGCTCCCCACGCCCGGCGCTGTCGATGTCCAGTCCGGGCCATCCAACACACGGAAAAAATTATTTCGCTCTGCCCACCGGTACCATGTCATCAACCCATTCCGATGTCAGTGTTTCAAGAATCCAGATTCAGTCAGCTCAACCGGCATGGGCCCCCCTTGCTTACCCTTTATTAATTTCCCAATCAGAGCAAGTCGTAAATCAGAATCAAGATTTGAGATGCGGTAGCAACGCATCTGATATGAGCAACCTGACAGTGAAATACTCCGCGATATTCGACCATCGCCTTCCATTATCTCCCCATGTCCACCGCCAATTCCTCCACTGAAGTCGACGCTGCCTCCACCCTTGCGACGCCGGCGGTGGTCCCCCCCGCCATCGCCCCCACTCTCCCAAAAACCCTGGAGGCGTCCGCGTTGATCCGGCATCTTCAAGTGATTGCCCGCCACACCGCTTTCGCCCAAGGCAAATCTCTACCTCACCCGTCGAAATATACTGAACGAATCCCCTCCTCAGCCCATCTCTCGATCCTCCTCGGTGGTGAATGTAGGATGTCCCTCCACCTTTCACTGGGTGTCAGACTGATCTCGATTTTCAGCAGTCGTCGAACCCGCCTTCGTTGAGGGAACCCCCGTAACTCCCAACGAGCTGGCCGCCGCCTTCGCTGGTCACGACAAATTCCAGAGCTACTGGGTCGTTTTGCGCGGACGCGAGCCTGGCCTTTACCTCACCGCGTGAGTCCATCCGTCCTCCCCAAAATCCCTCCCTAATCCTC